GGGTTTCCGAGGCGGTATCACTACGGAAGTAGATTGCCCAACCTTCCTTCTAAGGAGTTGCTGGTAGGTTTGAACCGCCACCCTTCTGGTGAGCAGTCAAATACCTTAGACACTACGCCACCAGAACTCCCCTTTGCACACAGCCCAGCCATGGGGCAGGAGGGCTGCGGCGGCGGTGGTAGCCGCTCCGCCAATTTAAACATTAATTTCCCCAGTATTTGTTTTTCTATGTAAAATACAGAGTTATTTTGTATGCCTCCTATAATAAATAAATAAATAAATAAACCTCTTGTTCAAGATTAATGATTATAGTAAGTGACAAAGGTAAATATTTCTCTGGAGCAGTGTTTCCCCAAGTGTGATCCCGGGCCTGCAGCATTACCATCTCTTGAGAATCTGTAAGAAATTTCAAATCTGCGGCCAAATCCGTGGACTGTAAAAGTCTGGGGCGAGTCCCACCCATTAAGCCCGCCAGGTGATTTTGATGCCAACTAAACTTTGAGAACCACTGCTCTAGTCTAGATGATCCTTGATACGAGTGTACTTTTCTTGTTTCACACAGAGAAGATTTTCGTAAATGTGATCACGCATGTGTGCTAAGTCTTAAAGAAGCTTCACAAAGTGCTTCTTTGAGGTAGAGAGCATCTGCAGCCCCAGTGAGGGCAGCCGGATAGACGTTTCAGGTTACTCCATAGGGCCTATTCGTGAATACAGATGTGCTGAACAAAATGGGAGGAAATGTGAGCGAAAGCATTAGTTGTTTTATTTATTTATTTATTATGGGGGACGACTAGTAGTGATAAAAAATTACCAGTACGTGATACTTAAATGCTATCAAGGAAACCTATCCTATAATTTGAACAAGTAAACTGGTCGTTTCTGATTTGCAGCTCCTGCTCTGCCGGACGCAGGCAATGAGGTGTTCGCGCTGAGGACAAAACTGGACTCTGGGAACCAACCCAGGCGACCCCTCAGAGCCGCCACCTCCCGCAGAGCTGCAGCCTCACCTGACGGGGGCGCATACACAAGGAAGGCGGAGAGAAAGAGGAGGACAGCGGGACTGGAGAGCCAGTAGCCCACAACTCGGGCCCGCCTCCTGTCCCGCCGCGCTCTGCCAGGGGTCGAGGCCTCCATCCACACGCCGCCACTTGCCGACCTTCGGCGCCGAAGATCGTTATGCGACGCGCGCCCACCCGCCCTGGTGGCACGCGCGAGAGGGAGTTGGCGGGTCGCCCCAGGCCGGAAGGACCGGCTGCCACTTCCGCCTTGGCTGCTGAGCCTACGTGGCCGCTGAGTTGTCTACCGAGTCTTCAAGTCTTCGCTGAATATTGGGTGTGGTCCAGAACTCCAGAGGGAAATCGTGGGAAAGGTAATGGCCTCAGGATATCACCGCCAATCAGGGAATCTTGGAAAGGATATGTGACTTGTTGAAGATTCTGATATTAGAGAAGTCGTGGGCCCCAGAGCTTTCACCATTCTGGGCACGTTCGGGGACAGAAGGAAGGCCTTTTTATAAACTAAGGTGGTAAACTAGGATTTCCGGTATTCGTGGACCAACTCTGAACAACAGGTACTCCTTGTCATTAGAACCGAGTGTACATATACAGCCCTTCACCTGTAACTAGTAATTTCAGCTATTGCTATATTATGGCTCTATGGAACTTTGGAAATGAATGGAAAGCACACATGGTGAGAATTAAAGGTGAGGCCTGGGGTTAGGGGGAAGCTTGATGGGGAAAAACTGATGAAATTGAATTTTCGGCACTCAGCTTGGAAGATTTTTTTTTTTTTTTCACCTAAACTCAGAAAAAAAATGTATAAAACAAAGGTATCAGCTCAAGAGGTCATTGTAGCCAGACCATATTTTAGAGGGCTTGACAGAAAATAGACCCTCTACTGTGTTCTGCTAGCATAGTGCCTATGGCATTTGACTGCTAACTAGAAGGCTGGCGGTTCAAATCCACCAGCCACTCCTCGAAGGAAGGTTGGGCAATCTATTTCCGTAGTGATACTGTCTTGGCAACCCAAGGAGGGGTCGCTATGAGTCGGTCTGACTCAATAGATAACAACAACACAACTGTGTTCTGCAACTAGAAGGGTTTGTGGTTGTTGTTGTTATGTGCCGTCGAGTCGGCCCCGACTCATAGCGACCCCTCCTTGGGTTTCCGAGGCAGTTATCACTACGGAAGTAGGATTGCCCAACCTTCCTTCCGAGGAGTGGCTGGTGGGTTTGAACCGCCAGCCATCTGGTTAGCAGGCAAGTGTCTTAGCCACTATGCTACCAGAGCTAAGGGTTTAGTTGATGGAAATATTACAAGAGAAATTTTATGTAGTTGGTGCAAAGCCATGGAAAAATGAAGTTTGAGCAACTAGAAACAATGCCTAATAACAATGTGTATTATCACCTTTATTAAGAAGTGATTGATGCTGGGTGAACTAAAAATTGTCATTGGTTATATGAGGCTATAAATAAAAGATTTCAAAATTGCCACTTGTCCCCCTAATTCAGCCTCCCTACATATTTGTTTCATATTACTTGGTTCCATAATCAACACCAATTGAAGCAGCAGTAAAAAAATCAGACAACATATTGCACTGGGCAAATCTGCAAAAGACCTCTTTAAAGTGCTGAACAGCAAAGCTGTCTCTTTGAAGACTAAGGTGCACCTAACCCAAGCCATGGTATTTTCAATCCCCTTGTATGCATGTGAGAGCTGGACAATGAATAAGGAAGACTGAAGGAGAGTTGATGCTTTTGAGTTGTGGTGTTGGCAAATAATACAGAAAGTACCATGGACTGCCCAAAGAACTAACCAATCTGTCCTGGAAGAAGTGCAACCAAAATGCTCTTTGAAAACAAAAATGGCCAGACTTCTTCTCAACTACTTTGGTCATGTTGTCAGAAGGGACCATCCCTGCAGAAGGATATCATGCTTGGTAAAGTGGAGGATCAACAAAAAGAGGAAGGCTCTCAATGAGATGAATTGACACAGTGGCTGCAATAATAGGCTCATGTCTAGCAAGGATTGTGAGGTTGGCACAGGACCAGGCAATGTTTCATTCTGTTCTACATAGGGTCACTATGAGTTATAGCTGACTTGACAGCACCTAACAACAACAAAGTATTTATTGCTTTATCACAAACTTGTAATGCCTTTATGTGGGACATAGGTATTCTGGTTCCACAACGGGTATCACCACCCCTTGCTGCCTTATAGTTGATGTGATTTACATATGATGCATCTGACTCTTGTATATTTTGCAATCAATTTAGTCTTAACCCCAAGGATAGTTTTTGACACATACTGTTGTTGTTGTTATGTGCTGTCAAGCCGGACCTGACTCATAGCGACCCCTCCTTGGGTTTCTGAGGCAGTATCACTACGGAAGTAGATTGCCCAACCTAGGCATTCAAATCATAGAAAATTTTAAAAAACCATTGAGTGGAGAGGAAGAATCTCTATCTGGACCAGGACCAGAACAGAGACATTCCTCAAGGACTGTGTAAACTAACATAATTTCTGCATATTTCTTGAGTTTGCTAGACATATTTATGCATGTGTTAATTGTTTTGGTAAAGTATATTCAGTACAGTTTACTCCACAGAGTAGGTTCTTTTCTCTAGAAATTCATTTTTAGTCTATATAAGGTCTGGGGTTTAATTTAGACAGTTCGCCATGTTTTCCTAAAAATATACCTGAATAATTGGCATACAGCTAGGATTTTGGTCAATATCTTGCAGTTCCTTTGAGCAAATCAAATATATATTTACTTTGTTAAATTAAAATTAGTCACTGTTTTTGTCTAGATGTGATCTTGACATGAGCTTTGAAAACTTCATTGTTCTTACCAGGAACATCACAATAGAGTTCAGGCAAATTATAAATATTCAGGACATATAAAATATGTACTTTGCCTCTAAATTGCTAATTGTTTGTCTTAAAAATTAGATACAGCTTTTAACTGAATAGTTGTTAGTTGCCTTTGAGTCTATTCCAATTCACGGTGAGTCAGTGTGTGTAGAATTGAACTGCTCCATAGGGAATTCAGGGCTGTAACTTTTCAGAAACAGATCACCAGGCCTGTCTTCATAGGTGCCTCTGAACCAACCACCAGACTTCTGCTAATAGCTGAATGCTTAACCATCTGTGCTACACAGGGACCCCAATTTAACCATAGTATAATACAAATTTTTGCAGCAAATTTGTATTTACATTTAAGTACTAAGTGTTATATTTTACATATCTATTTGAATAAATTCTCAATTGTATTCACAGGTATCCTTTTAAAAATGTATTGTCATCGGATTAATTGCTTTATATTTCTTACTGAATATTATTTTACCCATAAAATATTAAAACCAAAAACCAAACCCATTGCCGTAGGGTCATTTTCAACTCTTGGCAACCCCATGTGTTCTGGAGTAGAACTGTTCATAGGTTTTCAATGCCTGTGATCTTTTAAAATAGATTGCCAGGCCTCTCTTTTGAGGCTAATTCAATCTGCCAACCTATTGGTTAATAGTTGAGTGCAAACCATTTGCGTCACCCAGGAACGTCCATAAAATACTAATTTAAGGCAAAATTTTAAAATATATAATAAAATAATGCAGTTTTCCTGAACATTTGGGAGGAAAGTATTATGGAAATACTACTACCAAGGTTATTTTTATGTTTCCCAAGAATCAAATTATGATGTATATAATCAATGGTTCAGTGTCTTACAGCAGTTCTAGCTGTTGCCTAGCAACAAAGACTCTTGCTCCCCCACCTCCTGTCCTATTCCTTTAGTGCCCTATTCTTCCTTTAATGAAGAAAAAGTATTTTTCTGAAAAAGAAGAAAAATCTACTTTACAGACATGTAGGAGCTTAATCAATCACTTTATGTTTGATTAGCTCTAATCTTGGAAATAAAAGATTTTACAGAGTTAAAGGGAAAGAGTCATCAGAAGCACTTCATTTATAATTATCAAAAGTTTACGAAGGTAAAAGACCACAGATATGGATTCACAGTGTACATCTGGACAGATAAGTATTCCTAAAGGGACAATCCTTTCAGCAACAAATAGTGTTGATAAAAGAGATTATCCACACTACTGTGATCTCTTAAGGAAAATGAACATCCCTTTTGTGACAGGAATTGAGGACAGACATAACTATGGCAGATTTGAAAAGAAATGCAGTCCTATTTTTCTTAAGTTTCATCCTTATCCCCCTTCAGTCCTGCCAGACTATCATCTACATTATCCTTATCCCCCACCTTATGGTCCAGATTATCCATTGTTTCCACTTAGGGATGACGTCCCCTTAGGTGATCCCTGTTCACAGTTTTTAAGTCCAGGTGGTGATGCTGATTTAAAGCCTGACGTTGGCAGAACAATACCAAACCTGGTGGATTTTAGTGATGTGAAACCTCAACATCGAGTTCCCAGACCAGACACAAGATTTAATACAACAATAAAGAGAAAAAAAATTCTATTAGAAGAACTACAGCAGAATAAGACATGGAATTCCAGGGCAGTGCCAGACGTTTCCATCAGGGCAAGACTTGGAGGTAAATAAAGCGTTATGGACTTTATTTTATTTAAATATTCAAAGATGGAGAAAAAATATGGATATAAGATTCAGTAGTTTAGCAGTTAATGTTAACATCAGGATCTGAATAAGGAATTTGTATCATAAATTATGGCTTGCAAAGAAAAAAGTAAGAATGATAAGTATTTTGTAAGCCCATTTGTAAAGCAATATTTGGTTACAGATGTGCATTCATTAGTTTACATGAGCAAAACAAAATATATATGAGACCATTTATTGTAGACACATGAATAACCTAATTTTACCAGAAGGAAATTTGTATATCACTTTGATAATTTTGTAGCCTGCCTCTTTTCTCTATCTTGCCCTCTGAAAAATAAATCTGCTGAAGGTTACAAAAGAAGTAGGTTTTAGGAGTTGAAAGAGAAAGTATATGTGTATTTTTGAGTCAGTAGCCCCTGGGTGACACAAATGGTTTGCAGTGGGCTACTAACCCAAAGGTTGGTAGTTGGAATATAACCAATGACACTGTGAAGCCTGCCTAGGACTTCCACCACCAAATGTCCAGAAAAAGGAAGATTAATCCTTGAATTCAGATTCACTATCCCCACGTTCATTGTTCATGCCATGACCTCAGAAATTCTATGCTGTGTATCACAGAAAATTTCAGGATTAATAATATACTTCTTGTTGTTAGGTGCCCTGGAGTCAGTTCTGAGTCATAGGGACCCTGTGTACCAGAGAACGAAACACTGTCCCACCCTGTGCCATCTTTACAATTGTTGCCAAGCTCAAACCCATTGTTCCAGTCACTGTGTCAGTCCATCTTGTTGAGTCTGCCATTTTTTTGATGACCCTCTACCTTACTGAGCATCATGTCTTTCTCCAGGGGCTTGTCCCTTCAGACAACTTGACCAAAGTACAAGAGACGAATGTGGCCATTCTTGCTTCTAAGAAGCATTCCAGCTGAACTTCCTCTAAGACAGATTTGTTTGTTCTTCTAGTAGTCCATAGTACATTCAATATGCTTCACCAACACCACAATTGAAATGCACTCTTCCTTGCTTTTTGTCCAGCTATCACATGCATGTGGGGCTATTGAAAATACCATGACCTGGGTCAGCTGCACCTTACTCTTCAACATGACATCTTTCTCTTTAACACTTTAAAGAGGTTTTTTGGTTTTTTGTTTGTTTGTTTGTTTGTTTGTTTTCAGCAGATTTGCCCAGGACAATACATTGTCTGCTACAGACTCTCAGACTAAGACAGACTGGGAAAAAGGAAGGAACCATCCCCTTCTGAAAAAAATCGGCCAGTGAAAACCTTATGAATAGCACTGTCTGATACATTACTGGAAAACTTTATGAAGAGCCATGAAACATTTTCTGATATAGAGCCCCTCTGGTTGGAAGGCATTCAAAATATAACCAGGTAAGGGCTGCCTTCTCAAAGTAGAGTCAACCTTAATGATGTAGGTGGAATAAAGCTTTCAGGACCTTCATTTGCTGGTGGGGTGTGACCCAAAATGGGAAAAAAAAAAAAAACTGCAAGCATTCATTAATAATCAGAACATTGAATGTAGGAAATGGAAATGTGAATCTAGGAAAATTGGAAGTTGTCAAAAATGAAGTGGAACATATAAAGATCAATATCCTAGGCATCAGTGAGCTGAAATGGACTGATATTGCTTATTTTGAATCATCCAGTTATATGGTCTACTTTGCCAGGAATGACAAATTGAAGAATGGCATCATGTTCATCATCAAAAAGAATGTTTCAGGAACTATCCTGAAGTACAGTGCTGTCAGTGATAGGACAATACCCATACTCCTACAAAGAAGGCTGGGTTAAGATTACTATTAAGATTACTGTTAAGGTTACTATTATTCAAATGTACACACCAACCACTGAAACCAAAGATGAAGAAATTGAAGATTTTTACAAACTTTTGCAGTATGAAGTTGACCAAATGTGCAATCAAGATGTATGAATAATTATTGGTGATTGGAATGTGAAAGTTGGAAACAAAGATGAATCAAAGGTAATTGGAAAATATGGCATTGGTGATAGACATGACTCTGGATATCACATGATAGAATTTTGCAAGATCAATGACTTATTCATTGCAAATACCTTTTGTCAACAACATAAACATTGGCTATGCATGAAGAACTCACCAGAATACAGAGAATACAGATCAACTACTCTGTGGAAAGAGATGATGGAGAATCTCAGTATCATCAGTCAAAACAAGGCCAGGAGCTGACTGTGGAACAGACCATCAATTGCTCATATGCAAGTTCAAGTTGAAGCTAAAGAAAATTAAAATAAGTCCATGAGAGCCAAAATATGACCTTGATTACAATCATATTTATACCTGAATTTACAGGCCACTGAAGAATATGTCTGATGCATGACTGAAGACCAGACAAGTTGTGGGATGACATCAAGAAAATCATATATGAAGAAAGCAAACAGTCATTAAGAAGGCAGCAAGACCAAAATGGATGTCTGCACAGACTTTAAAACTTGCTTTTGAATGTAGAGTATGTATAGTAAATGGAGGAAATGCAGAAATAAAGTAACAGAAGATTTCAGAGTAGCTCAAAAAGACACAGTAAAGTATTATAATAAAATGTGCAAAGACGGAGTTATAAAACCAAAAGGGAAGAAAATCCTCATCATTTCTCAAGCTGACAACTAAAGAAAAAACTCATGACTCAAGTTGCAATATTGAAGGATTCTATGGGCAAAATATTGAATGATGCAGGAAGCATCAAAGGAAGATTGAAGGAAGACACAAAATAACCATATCAAAAAGAATTGTTTGATGTCCAACTATTTCAGCAGGTAGCATATGATGAATATCCACTGGTATTGAAGGAAGAAGTTGAAGCTGCACTGAAGGAACTGGAAAAAAAAAAAAAAAAAAAGCCTCCAGGAGTTGACTGAATACCCATTGAGATGTTTCAGTAAATAGATGCAACCCTGGAGGTACTCAGTTGGCTATGCCAAGAAACTTGGAAGACAGCTACCTGATCAACTGACTGGAAGAGATACATATATGTACCCATTCCAAAGAAAGGTTATTCCACAGATTATGGAAATTATTGAACAATATCATTAATATCACATGCAAGTAAAATCTTACTGAAGATAATTCAAAAACGGTTGCAGCAGTATATTGACAGCTTCCAGAAATGCAAGCTGGATTCAGAAGAGAATGCAGAAAGACAGGTATCATTGCTGATGTCAGATGGATCTTAACTGAAAGCAAAGAATACCAGAAAGATGTTTACTTATGTTTTATTGACTATGCAAAACCATTCACTTGTATGGATCATAACAAATTATGGATAGCATTGAGAAGAATGGGAAATCCAGAACACTTGATTGTACTCATGAGGAACTTGTACATAGAGAAGGAGGCTATCATTCAAACAAAACAAGGGGATACTGCATGGTTAAAAATCAAGAAGAGGGTGTGTCAAGGTTGTACCCTTTCACCATACTTATTCAATTTGAATGCTGAGCAAATAAACCAAAAACCTGGATTATTTGAAGAAGAACATGGAATCAGGGTTGGAGGAAGACTCATTAACAACCTGAGATATGCAGATGATACAATTTTGCTTGCTGAAAGTGAGGTTGACTTGAAGCACTTACTGATGGAGATTAAAGACTACAGTCTGCAGTATGGATTACACCTCAATATTAAGAAAACAAAAATCCTCACAACTGGTCCAATAAACAGCTTCACTATGGAGAAAAGATTGAAATTGTCAAGGACTTCATATTACTTGTTTCTACAATCAACACCAATG